CATTTGGCGTCAACTTGAAGGCACACAAGAGCTATTCAGCCAAGGGTTATTTCCCTTCATCTAGGGCCAAAACATCATATCATTTAACATTAAATTATATCATTTTAAAGAGGCACAAGGCCTGGCCGAAACCCCTTGTAATCATTCGGCCATGCCCCTCTATTTCCTATAAATAGGCTATCATATTTCATTTGTAAGCAGACCTTTTGATTAATTAAAGTGAGATTATTCTCTTTTCTTAAGTCTTGGTGACTTTTATCGACTTATCAAGTATTTTAATACTTGTGGCGTCAACCTTCCCCTTGATACTTATGGTTCCTATCTTCATATAGATAGTGGGTCCAAGTCCTTAATACCACCCCTTAAAGAAGCAATATAAAGTCTGGGTTTTTGCTCTCTCTAGCATTGGTTCTTCTTTGAGTGTTCTTTAAGATACTATCCTCACAACCATTTCATTGTTTCATCAACCAAAACCATAGCCAAATCAACATCCTTCCGCTACCATCTCTCAAATCATAAATAGCCTACCTATTCACCTTTACATTTACCACCCTTAACCATTTTGTTTTTGAGCCATTCCCTTATGCAGGTTGTTTTTCTTCCTTCCTAGATCCACAATCAATTGAAGATGTAGAATTACGGTACATCACTTTGATGTTGGATTGATTTAAGGATCTTAAGAGAAAGATGGAATTCCCGTACTTGTTAAGTATAAAAAGTAGAAAAAGGGAGGACTAAAGTCTGATGAATGTTTATATGCCATGGATAAAATTGTCATTGAGTTATTTTTAAGTGAATGGCATTTTAGTAAGTTTAAGAAAGATATCAAGATAGCTTTAAGTGAAGTTTTGAGTAGAAGAAAATATAGTACACCATTAGGATGGTTTGAATTGAAAGATCGAGACTTAGTGCGACTAGATTTGATCAAAGAAGTTGAAGAAAAAGTGAATATTATTTAAGACAATTTTTAAGATTGCTGTTGATAAACAAAAGTCCTAAATGGATTTGAAGATAAAGAAAATTGAATTCCAAATAAGTGATGAAGTGTTTCTCAAAATCTTGCCTTAGAAGAAGATTCTTTGTTCTGTATACAACGGAAAGCTCAATCTTAGATTCATTAGATCTTATGAGATCTTAAAGAAGTTGGACCAGTAACCTATTAGTGAATGTTGCCATTCACAAGTATATTTTATGTTTCGATACTCAAGAGATATTGATACGATCTTTTTCACATCATAGAACCGGAATAAATAGAAGTTAAATGTAATCGACTGTGAAGAAGAAATAGTATATGGAACTTAATAACTAAGAAATTAGATGATTTCGTTAGTAAGTGTGTTTTGGGTAATAACAAAGAGGAAGATGTGGTGTGGACGCGTGTAGAGGATGTAAAGAGAAAAGTTCTTTATCTTTTTGTACAGTGAAAATTCAAGGATGAATTTTCTTAAGGGGAGATTTGTAACACCCCAAACATCAGGTCAGTGACCAAAGTGTAAGGATTTAAAAGTTAGCAATAATCTTTTGATAAACTGAAAAGTTTAACTATTAATTTAGGGAATTTTTGTTTAGGATTTATTATCAAGGATTTAAGGGTAAAATGGTCTTTTGACAAGAAATGAATTAAAAAAAATCATTTTAATGCTTATTTAACACGTGATCAAGGGAGAAAGAAAGAAATGAAAACTTTGAAAGCTTGCTCATCTCTTCTCCTCTTCCCCGTGAACCTCCATGCTAAGGTAAGAGATTTTAAAGTTGATTATTTCTTTTATTTCTGATTTGGTTTTGGTTCTTTGGGTGACGTTGAAGCTTAATAAAGCTTAAGGATGAATTGAAACTAAGATATTAAGGATTTAATGGTGATTTAACAAAATGGGTTTTTAAGAGAATTGATTTAAATTGATTGTTTTTGGATCTTTAAAGATATATTTGACTTTTCAAGAGTTTAATTAAGGGGTTAGAAGTCTTAGAAATGATTAAAAACAAGTTTGAATAATTGATATAATTTTTAGTTTCAAGAGTTTTATTGAGAAATTGAGGTGTTAGAGGGGTTTTAATGGATATAAGTTAGTGGTAATAAGTGTAAATGAGCTTAAAGGCATGAATGGAGTCTAAGTAGGAGATTTTAGTGAAGTTGGGTAAATTTTTCAAAGTGAAATGGATGAATTCTGAGTAAAGGTATCGATACTGGAAAAACAATATCGATACTATAAGGTTAAATTAAAGGAAATAGTATGAACTGGATGAATAGTATCAATACTGGTTGAAGAAGTATCGATACTGATGTAAAGGTATCAATACCAAGAATAAGGTATTGATACTGTAAGTAAAGAAGAAATTCCATAATGTCGAAATGGTATCGATACTGAAGTAGGTACCAATACCAGATAAGAGAAGTATCAGTATTACATGAAGAGTATCGATACTATTCAGGCTGAAATGTTAAATTTGGTGTTTCATTTTGTTTAGGTAATAGTTAATTGGTTCAATGTAATTGAGTTTTGACATTCATGGGTCATATTAAATGTGTAGATTTGATTGAAAGCAAGTGTTGAACGAATGAATATGTAAAGTTAGTAAGCTACAGTGAAACAATGTCTGCTTAGAACTTATGTGAGGCAAAGGTGAGTGCATTTTACTATTCTTTTAAATATAATAAGAGGAAGACTCACGATGAGTCAACCTCGAATATTTTGAAAAGAAATGTTTTGAATTTTACCATGAAACACTTTTATCATACTTTATAAATAAATTGTGAATGATTTGGTTTATTAAAGAGCCAAATCTTGAAAATTTATTAATGTAAATGATTTGAAGTATGACATAATCTTTTTTGATATCTGATATATTTTGTTTATGAAATTTGACATGAAATGATATGTGGATTTAAATATAATACTATGTGATATACTATGTAAAGGTTTCTACATGAAGATGATATGTGAAAATGTTCTATATGAAAATAATATGTGTGCTCAACAAAAGTGATATACGTGAAAGTGAACCATATGTGAATGTACTTTATGAGAATAAGATACACTTTAAATAATGAAATGAAAATTAATGGTAAAGCTAAAGCCCAAGGTATATGTATGAGAATTAGAGGTATAGTTGGCATGCCAAGAGTCGAGGGTTCTATGTGGTCCTTCGGGACAAAACTATGTGGTCATTCGGGACAAATATGTGGCACTTCGGTGCAAATTATGTGAGTTGTGGTGACAGCATTAGTGCACAACCTCAATGTACTCAAATACCTAGCATTCTCAGTAGTATGCGTTGGGCTATTAAAAATAAAGTAATATAAATTGAACAATTGATTAAAGTATACATTTTTGTTATGAAAAGTAACTTGAATTCTTTGAGAAATGTTTTCTATGAAATGTGTAAATAAATGTTTTATGATTTTATTATACTCATTATGCCTCACTAAGTCATAGACTTAACGTGTGATTGTTTTCACACGTTGGATTCGCGAGCTTCGAGGAGTAAGTTGAATAAGCAAGGGTAGGACAGTATACTGGTGAGAATTATTAGATCAGAGAGAAATTTGAATAGTATAAGTTTTGATTTGAAAGGTTATTAGCATGTACTAATTAGGTTTTAAATTGTAGATGCTATGATATGTTTTGTAAATGTGTTTCCATTTTTCCAATAAAAGTCAAACTTTTAGTCAAAATTTTCAGAGTTAAAAAGTTAATGTGATACCTCAGATTCGTATCCGAGTTAGTTACGTGTCGAGGGTGTTACAGTTCTAATTGATAAAATTAAAAGTTCAGTAGTATAAACGATCAACGGATAAAATTTAATTGTATCCGAAGTAGTTTTCCCATTATTTAACTAATTAATTAGATTTGAAGGTTGAAAGAGATCTAGTTTGGTGGTGAGTTCAATCAAGTGATCAATTAGAGGTAGGATTAGCTGATTAGGTATTTTGAATGAAATTTCATTTGTCTGTTTTTGTGACGTTGGATAAATTAGCCTCTCATGTTTTCAATATTAATTAGTCGGTCCGGGATGATTAGGAGATTGATGTATAAATTTCCTTTTATTTATAATTATTAATTTATGTGTTAATGGAATTCTAATTTTCTTTTGGGTTGCAATCAATTTCACCCTTGATGTTTAATAAAGATATTTCATCTTGAATGTTTGAAAAATAATTTCAAATGAACAAAAAATAAATTCCCATGAAAAAAATATCAACAAGAACATCACTACCATCTGTCAGTAGGGTTAAATATTAGGTCGAGTCAAGTTAACAAATTTCGAGTTATTTTAGTTAACGAATATTATTTTATAACTCAAATTTTATTTTAAAAAAATCGAGTTGAGTTATTCTAGTTTTTTTTAAATGTAATTATAAATATTTATAATATTATACTACTATTTAATTCTAATTTGAATAACTTTCTATAATCATATATACACACATTTCTTTATATTTTTTCATATATAATATACATATATCATACAAGATATTCAACTTGAACATAAAAACTAATCCACCAGTTATAAAAATTATTGAGTTATTTGAATTCTATTTTATAACTTGACTCGAATTTTATTTTTTTGAATTGAGTCGAGTTTATAGCATTATGAGTCAAATTTTTTTAAGTCAAATCATAACTAAAACTTTTTATTTTTCGAATAGAGTCAAATTTTACTCACCTATTTATTAGTACTCAAATTATTAATTTAGGTAGATTATATATTTAGTACTTAAACTATCACTTTTATTCCATTTTAGTACCCAAACTTTTAATTTTATCAAAATCATACATAATCTTTACTTTTTGTTTCATTTTAGTACCTAAATTTTTAACGACATGGTACTAAAATAAAACAATAAATAAATGTTAAGTATGATTTTTTTTTAAAAAAAATAAAAATTTAGGAACTAAAACGAAATAAAAATGATAGTTTAAGTACTCAATATGTACTTCACCCTATTAATTTTTTATTTACAAGACTCCTTAGACTAAATTATAAATAACCAGTGTGATTTTTAGGATGGAATTTGTTCAATTTCTTCATTTACAGGTTAATACTTTAATGGAGTTTTACATGTTGAAATTTTTTATCTTAAAAAAAACAAGGCGGAATAAGCAAACGCCGAAACCCCAAACGCAACGCAAAGCATATCTAAAGTCCCTTCCCTCTTCGTTCTCCACTCTTTTCTTTCTCTTTTCCTTTCCAAAAAGTCCTCCACTTCCTTCTTCCTCTTCCCTTTTCCCCTTTTGCCCTCCAATCCTCTCTTCAAAATTCCTAAACTGTCCTTCCCATTAAGGTACATTCCATCCATGTCCTCCAACTGTAAACTCACCTCTCTCACGTGCATCTCCCCTCCCATTGACCCCCCGCACGTGACCACCACCCCGCACTGCACCCACTCCGTCGCTGCTCCGTTTCCTCCTCCGCCTATTACCGACGCGAACTTCACGTGCACCTCCCCGCTCAACCAGTGTCGATGTACGGTCACCGGTCTTTGACTCGAGAGATTCATCGCCCGTTTTCCGGTTGGATCAATCATGATCCAGCTTAACTCCATATCTTCCTCCAGATCCCGACACGTGTCGTCCTTGTCCGAGTTTGGTATCCGGGTCGAAACCGCTTCTTTCGGATCCAATAAATCCACCCGAAACGGCGAGCTGTTGAACCAAGCGCTTACGGTTTCCGTTTCGATGACTTTACTGAAAATCAACTCCTCCTTGTAATAAACATCAACGGCCGAGATTAATTCCGATGGAAGGTTAGGATTTTCCGACAAGTCTCCTGAGATCGCGGGTTCGATGGCTAATGGGAACGCGTCAGAGAAGAAGGAGCGGAAGCTGTGGTGGAAACTAGAGATGACGTGTCTTACACGTGGAGAGTCGATGGAAGGCCACGTGGAGAGGCAGATGTTGGTCCAGAGGTTTTCCTGCGATACGAGTGCAAGGAGGTGGGTAGAGGCGCAGGAGGCGGATGCGAGAGTCGGGCCGTCAAGCCGGGTCAATATGTGGGTCTCTATGATGTCTTGATGGACAATAGAAATTGCTGCAAAATTGTTCTCATCAACGGTGGTGATGCCGGGTGTGCAGCGTACCTGTACTGGTGGCGATGTAGATGAGCCGGCCATAGTGTTCGTGTTTTCAATTAAAAAACAGCGGGTCTGTCTGGAGCAGAGGATTATATAGGAGGAAGGCAGTGCAAGAAATGAGGAATTGCCCTTTCTTTTTCAATTAATAACAAAAGTACCCATTCTCAAAAAAAATAAAATAACATAAATACCCTTTGTTTTACTAATAATTATGTTCTAGCTGCTCCGTTGACTCTGCCTTCCTATTTTAGCCGATTTTACCAAAAAAATCAACTTAAGATTTTAATTATCTGTCCGACACTATTTTAAAAAATATTATTGATCTAACACCTTTTACACAAAGATGCGGATGATGATCCGCTCCTTTCTGGAGGCCTAACACGTTCTTGTAAGGCGCAGATGGTGATCCGCACCTTTCATTATTGATTTCGATTTTCTCGACCTTTAAACTATCCCCTCGCCTATAAATAACACCTCCTTCAACCTTAAAAATCACAAATTCAATTCTTCCTATATTTACTTCACCAGTTCTTCCTATATTTGCTTGACCAGTTCGATCGATATTTTGTTTTAAGGTAATTTTTAATATATTATATTTATTTTATATATGATTATTTGAAAAAAATATTGTACTAATTATTTTTTAATTATTTTTTTCAGTTGTAAAATTAGAAAGTAGGATCATACGTCCAGATATTTTTGCCGATACGGTAACAATATAAAATTTTATTATTTAAATTATTGTTAAAATTTTTAATTTTTTTATTAGGTTATATTTGAATTCATATATTATTTATATAGTTAGGCGTATTTCAACTATTATTTTTACAGATATAAGATTGTTAATCTTTCAAACTCTCAGAATGACGCGTATTTCAACTATTGTTTAATATGATGGAGAAATTCGGGAAGATGAAACCGGCATCGTGTTCTGATAAAATCATTCTGTCAAATACTATTCAAGAGAAACATAACTCTTTAGGAGTAGATAACGAATATTTCAAAAAAGGTTTATGTTGGAAGTACTAGAAGAATGTCACCGCTTCAACAGATTTCCAACATTGGTATTTCCGTTAACTTATACAACATTCGAACTATTGAACGATTACGATGTTGCAATGATGGTTGATTCTCAAAATCATTATTCAGACGCCGATACAGAGATGTATGCAAAATTTGTTGAAGTATGTGTTGTTCGTGGTATGTCATTATGCTCCTACTATGGGTTGGCTCAATAAGCAGATCAAGTGGACATCCCAACTACAGTATTGTGTAATGATTTTAATACCATAATGGGAAATCCGCATCATTGTGTCATCCCATCAAGTTCAATGATGAGACATTCATCAGCAACTTCTTACGGTCTGTACCGAAGTGGGTCCACAAATAATCCGTATAGAAACATCACGTCCAATTCAAGGGGAAGACATTCATCTGCCAAATCTTTGACCTGAATATGGAGATGCCCTCGATGCAACAATCTGTGCAATACCCATTTGACACGATACCTTCAAGCTCCAGGAGGAGGAATTTAACGGCAAGCTTTTTCGACCTCAATGTCGAGATTCCTTCAAGTTCAAGGGGAAGGCATGCAACTACCAACTTGTTCGACCTAAATGTCGACAACGTAGAGGAACCCTCATCTCCACCAGAAGAACCTCTTCGTGAGCCAAGTGGGATGGTGCTGAGATTAGACTATTCGTTCACCTAAAATCACCGTAGTTCAACATAGACTCTGATGATGATGATGTCGAGGAAGTTCTCACAAATAAGGTACACACTGAACCTCCAGCACACATGTATGAAGATGACTATGGTGCAATGTACGAGCCAGAATTTACGGATATGCCTAATATCGGTGACTATGGATTTAACTCATCAGTCAATGATGGTGAGTTATATAAAGGAATGGAGTTTTCATGCAAAGAATAAGCGAAAATGGCAATTAAGAATTACAATATTCATAATTTTATTCAGTCCAGAATCGACCACTCTACCACCGAAAAGTATGTATGCCACTGTTTACAACGTGATAACGGATGCAATTGGATGGTTCGCTTATCGAAGAGGAAGAGGAAAAAAATTTATGGGAACTGAAAATATACAACGGTCCTCACACATGCTATGCTGGAGGGATCAACCAGGATCATCCCAACTTGGACTCCAACATGATATGCCAAGCCATCATGCCCATGGTAAAAACAAGTTTCCATATAGCTATTGTTATGTTGATTTTAGCTATACAATCGCAGTATGGGTATACTGTCTCATACAAGAAAGTATGGAATACAAAGCAAAATGCCATTATAAAACTTCATGGCGAATGAGATGCATCGTACAACGAACTACCAAGTTGGTTTAGGGTGGTGCGCATATTGAATCATGGGACAATTATGGACTTTGAAACTTACCATGCATACCACAATGATCGAGTGCTTCGCGATCGATGTCAATTCTATCGGCTTTTTTAGACTTACCGATAGTGCATAAATGTTGTGAAATACTGCAAGTCCATGGTCCAAATCGACGGGACATTCTTGTACGAAAAATTCAAACAATTTTTACTATTGGCAGTTGTCCAAGATGGTAATCGCAACATAATTCAAGTTGTTTTTCCTTTATTAAAGGATAAGATACAGATTCTTGGGCTTTTTTCCTTCGAAACTTACGCTTACATGTTATCACACGAGAAAAATATGTGTCATTTCAGATTGCAGAGCTGGAATCAAAGTAGCAATGGAATCTTTGGGTCCATTGTGGCAACCACCCTATGTCCAATATAAGTACTATGTTCGACACATTGCTGCAAACTATCATGGAAGGTTCAAGAAGAATGATGAGCGCCAATTACTTGTGCGCATGGGTATGTTAAAATGTTATTTTTTTGTTAATCATTTTCATTTTTTATAGAAACAAAGTTTGTAAGTTCTACATTTGATACTCAGGTTACGAACTACTACCTCAAACATTTGAGTCAATGCTTCAAGAGTTGTAAGGAAAAAACAAGGAAGGATACGATTACATCAGCCTCATCAATAAAGAAATGTGGACAAATGCATATAATGGTGAATATCGATATGGACACATGATGACCAACTTGACTGAGACTATCAATTCGACCTTAAAGAGGGCACGTTATTTGCTAGTAAGAGCTTTGGTAAAAAGCCATATTTTCGTTTGGGAACGCTTTTTGCTAAGCTCGGGGGACAAGCTCAAACCTGGATGCAAAACGATCATGTCTATTACCCTAGATTAGTTACAGATATACAAAAAAGAATTGTTACATCAAATGGAACGTCTGTAACAAGATTCTCTAGAACCCATGAATTGTTTCATTCACAGAGATCCCGCGACCTCTTCAAGGGATTCAAGCTAACTCGTTCAGAGTTAATCTACGAGACAGATGGTAAGACTGTGGTTTTTACAAGCTCTGAAGTATCCATGCACTCATGTTATAGTAGTTTGCTCGTATACGCATCAAGACTATAATCGTTTTGTAGATCCCGCATACCTTCTATCAGAAGTGTTTAAGGTATATGAATTTGAGTTTCCCCCATAAGTAATGAGAAAGACCCTGATAAGGTTCAAAATTGACTTCTGATTGTACCATATACATCTTTATTGAGGGATCTCGGTCATCCAAAATCCACTCGAATTCATTGTGATATGGATAATCGAGAAACGTTAAGAGAAAACAAAATATGTGGACATTGTAGAAACCTAGGACACAGTAGGAAAAACTGTTTATCTCTTTTGTCGTCAAGTAACTATTGATGTTGTGCTTAATGTAGTTGTTGTTTAAGAAAGATAAGTTTCTGTAATTTAATTTTCATTTACTTTAAGTTAATGTCATTTGATCATCACCGATTAATTAAACAAGAAAACGATACAATAAAAGCGATTAAAAAACACTAAATGATAAAACCATTCGCTTGAATTAAGTAATAAACAAAATTAACAAAATAAATTAAGTAATAAAAGGTAAATAATTAAAAAATTATAGTTATTTGTAAATAAAAATTAAATACAATTATAATTAAATGTATGAATCTATCGATGCATGCGTCTTGAATGTGTTCCACATGGCAGTGGCTGTCTGTCTCAAAGAGGATGTCTTCGTATAACTTGTTCTGACTCCTCACTCTTATCATCATCATCATCATCATCACCACCACTACTACCACCACCACCACTACTACCACCACCACCACCATCATCATCATTATCATTGTCACCGTCATCATCATCAGGAGAAGATACATTTTATTGATAAGAAACGAATGACAATGTAACACCTCTATAGAATAAGGACCCTGAAGGTGTATGACTGACTATACCACCGCTCATAAAAAACTAGGAAAACTGAGAAAAGACCAACATTTATGAGTGAGAAAACTGTACAGGAGGTGTCTGTGCGGCGACCATCAGTGGTGAAGCTAGACCCACCAAATAACCAGTATATGAACCTCAAGTTGGATATACAAATATAGAATCATAATATCCTCCAAGAGAGGTCATATAACTCTATGACGGTGTGACATATGGTATGGAAACGATGGTTACGGTATCTGATATGGTTACAGAGCCATCTGAAACAGTTGCAGAGTGTACATCGATATAGACGATGACTACTGTGAAGGTTCTAATGCTACAGGTGAGGACAAATCGGGAGTGTCTGCTCTCCGTCCACGAGTCAGGGATGATAGAGTTGTGATGATAGAAGTCTCTATCGACGTCGATGAATGCTCACACCTCATGCTTCCTCGGAAAGTAAGAACGATTTCCTGTTCCTGTTAAACCATTCGTAATAACCACCTGTAACTGTCAAATGGTCTACATAAATGAGTTCTCTACGGGGAATGTGCCCACGTCGATCCTCTCATATCATGACCCACTCATAATGCTTTAACAGCCAGTCCACATTTTTTTGTCGCGTCGATCGGTGCTATACAACTCATCAAGATTTTGAGGTGCTTCCGGAATTGATTATACAAAACCAAATTGTCGGAGCAAACGATCAGTTGGATGCCACTCGACAATCGCATACCAGATAAAAGGGACCATCGCCATCCAAACATCTAATAGGCCCCTTAAGTCATGTGGTATGTAAATCCATAACTCTTCAGTACAATAAGGAGCTCATTCAAACTAAAACAAATATATATAATTCTTATCAAAATAATAATCTAATTATATAATGATAATAAAAAAAATATTTTATTATTTAAATACATATCTCTGTGTCAGCATTCTGATCAATGAGTAACCTAATTGATTGTAATTCATCAAGTAAATCCCAATGATCTTTCCTTGCAGTAGACCACCTATTCAATGAAATAATTTTTATTATAGACTAGATAAAATTATTAATATACGAAATCAATATTGTAATTATATCAACAATAACAGGAATACCAACAGGTTCTTCACAACCAAACATAAAAAGGGCATGTGATACCATGCCCAAGACTGCAGCAGAATGAGACATCCACTGATAACATTTTTCCTATAGTCAGTAGCTCGACACATTTCCCTATAAAGAAATGCCAACACTACCGAGTCCCAACTCAATGTGTCAGCCAGATGAAAATCGGCGAGGTGACACAGCCATATTAGTGAACTCGGTTACGTGATTTGTTCGACATCATAAACCTCCTATCAGTTGTAGTATGCATGTTCGTGCATACATTTTTACCTGCTCCTCCGAGGCGTCCCTACTCAAACGCTTAAAAGTTTCATCCAACCAATTTAATGAGATTGACCACCATTAAAATTAGGCGCGACACCTCCAAGATACTCCTAGCACAATAAATGCCAGTCACCGTGCGTCACCCCACAAAGCACATCTCCATCTACCGGAAGCCCCAAGTGCATGGAAACATCTTCCAGTGTAATCGTGCACTCTCCGCACAGAAGATGAAATGTGTATGTCTCCGGTCTCCACCGCTCGACCAATGCAGAAATCAGGTTCGATTCTACGTTACAGTGCCTTTCGTATATGGCTATGTAATCGAATCTAGTCTCGACTAAATACGGCCAGACACGGGTTGATATCTCTAACTTAAGATTACGGATAAAAGGATCTAATATACGGTCTCTCTCCTAATTCAATAAATATTATAGAAATTAATATATAAACTAATACTAAAAAAGTAAATAAATAAAATATTATCAATAATTAAATTTAAAATAGAATTAAAAATATTACCGTATTAGCAAAATGTCTCGAGATATGATGTTCATCTAAACGAAACAGACCACCTTTCATTTTATAACTGTAAAAAATAATAAAAAGTAAATATAATACAATTTAATAAAATAATAAACTATTAATTAATTATAAAATAGTATAATATTTTACCTTCTAAATATTGACTGGGTTTAAACTTTAAAAGGGTTTGGGTTTTGAGAGGATTTAGAATTTTGGTGTGTTTGAATGAAGGAAAGAGAGGGTATTTATAGGAATGGGGGAAGGGTTTGGCCGGATGGGGTAATTAATGGGGGAGTATGAACGATTGAAATTTAATTGAAAGACGCAGATGATGATCTGCACCTTTCTGACGCGTGTCAGACCTCCAGAAAGTAGAGGATGATGATCCACATCTTACCTTGATGTTGCACCAACTCAGATAAGGCACAAATCATCACCCACGCCTTTCTATAAAAAGTATTGAATCGGTAAATTTTTTAAAATAGTGTCTGACAGGTAATTAAAACCTGTCAGGATGATTTTTGGGTAAAAATGCCCCTATTTTACGTTGGTACATTCTGTCGCAATTTATAACAAATGCTTTAAATTTTAACAATTATTAGTCTTTGTATTTCATTTTTAATTAATTATTTATTTAAGAATAATCATTTGATAAAATAACAGTGATTTTTTTATAACTTTATAAACGGATTAAAACTATATGTTGTGTCTAATTTATTTATTTTATTTTTTAAGTAGAACTTAAAATAATAAAAGGATAAATTATTTGTAGAGCTTAAAAAAAATTCATTTCAAGTATACATGATAATTATCTATGATTTAGTGCCCATAATGTTTGAGGTCGTTTTCGGTTCAAATTCTTTTTTCCACAAGTAGATCGATTAAAAATGTCACTTGTTACACGAACTAAGCTACTTTCGTTGTTAAATGAATGATGTCAAGTATAATTGAGTTTTTATCGTCAAATGATTAAAGATATTTAGAACATATATTACATTATAATCACCTTATATTAATAAAAAAATATCACACATTTTGCACGTACTAATATTAAATTAATATTATAAGTTAATTTCATATTAATTTCATTTGTAAAATTATTTAAAAACCTAAATTTAAGTCATAATAACAAAATAAATAATAAAATCTTTTAAAATAAAAATAAAAACTCATTATTACACTCTCATTAGAAAATACCCTCCCTTTTGTCATGTATATTTTATACACATGTACGAGTCAAGCGATCTCAATGGTTAAGAGATATTTGTTTTCTCTAGAGATCTCGAATTCGAACACGATACCAACATGAGTGTTTACACGTTCATTGTCAAATGGTTGTGACTTTTTCAAACATATACTACCATGTAATTACCCAAATTAGAAAAATGTTATATATATATATATATATATATATTATTTTATTATAATTATCGATATTTTTAAAAAAATATTAATTAAAAATTTATTCTTATATATTTTTTTATCAAATATGCAAAACCATTACAATTTTTTTATTTAGTTTGTCCATAACTGCTTTGGTAAAGCTCTAGAAGGCTTCTAAAAGCACCAAATCCAACGAAAGCATTTTGTTGTTTGATGATAATTTAATCAATACACTAAGTTTGACCCCACTGTTTTAATAGAAAATACGCCATCATATTTATATAAATTTACATGAATAAATATTACATTATGTGACTTGTGTCGATTAAAAAAATTATATAAATTTTATTACTGCACTTCAGTTAGAAAATTAATAATTATGAAAATAAATTATATCCAACGAATTTCACAAAAAATATTCTTTAAAAAGTCATTTTGAGTTATCAACAAGGTTAGTTTTAAGTGATAACCAGTTTAATATCTCTTAAGCAAAAGAGTCTGTGTATGCAGAAAATCTCCGTTAAAAGACTCACACATCAAAGTCAAATATGTGATCAGAGTCGATCTAAATTAGTCAGGATGAAACCTTTGGAACTGAGAGTAAAAATGAAAAATCATTTTGAGTTGAAATTGTATCATATACGAAGATAATTTTAAAAAACGTCATTTTCATTTGTCTTCTAAATAGAACCTTTCTACTTGAAGTTTTTCTAACTATTTTATGATGTATTATATTAATTAATTAGTTAATTATCTATTACGAGCTGACGTATTAGGAAGATAATTATTTTTTGTCAAATTGTTTAACTTAGGGGTCAAAAATATATCATATTGAACAATTGTTTATCTTAGGGGTCAAATAAATATTAGAAATAACAAGGATTAACGTTGAAGGAAATTGCATGCCAACTTGACCATATGTCGGATTATTTACTCCAATAACGTTCTTTTAAGTCTTCCTTCTCAGATTATTTATACCAGGTATAATAAAGGTGTTAATTAGTGATTTTAGTGATAAAAAAGAATATTATTTTATTAAAGATTTTGAGTTTGAGCAGTTACGTTTATAATGTGTGTATGCATTATCATTAATTAAGAAAAATACTAAATATATACTACTTTGTAATCACCTAACTCTATTAAAAAAATCTTAATCCAAAAAGGCTTAATATAGAAATAAGTGCTCAAACTATACCGTTTTCAAAAGTAATGCCTAATTTTTTTTCAGCCGATCCATGTTCCTAACGTTACAAACGTTATCACTTTAAGTTTATCGCCCGACCATTAAAAGGTCTCTTTAAGTGAAACTTGTCATAACAAAAAAATTAAAATTATATTTTTTCTATAAAAAATCTAAAAATTTCGTTTTTTAAAAAAAAAACAAAATTTGAAAACCCTAATTTCAACTCCTAAACTCGCGCTGACCGCCACCCTTTGTCATCATCGAACCTCTAACCAATCTCACCTCCACTCGATGACCAATAACTCCATGAAAATCCACCAAAGCAGGAGCCAATCGACATAACCCCCTGACGAACCTTGACACTGTAAAATATGACCCCACGCGATCCCTACGGCCAATCGACCACAAGAATAACGACGCCTGACTAGGGAGCTGACAAGTACGACATCGACAACGATGGTCGTGGCTGACAAGAATGATGTGCCAAAAGAAAAGACATAAAAAAAATATATTATAAAGATAAAATTATTAAAAATTTAAAAAATAAAATGTGATATAAAAAATAAAAGGAAAAAAAATATAGATGGTAACAACCATCATTAATGTTCGTGTTATTGTCTATTGATCAAAGATGAAGACAAAGATATATTTTAAATTTTTATGAGATTAAATTACATATATATCTGTTACAAACGAGATATATATATATATGAAGATCTATTTTTTTTGTTACAAACGGGAAGAATTTATATATATCTTTAAATATTATAATAATAATGGAATCGTTTAAATAAGACTCATCTAATAAAAACAAGTTTAATTATTTTATATTTTATTATGAATATTATAAATTATCGACCGACAACCAACAAATACAAATTCACTATAAATTTCTCATATTTGTTGTGGAAGTTTGAGAATGTGGGGCAAATATTTTTTTTAGTAAGAAAGATGAAGAAGACAATGTATAAATTGAAGCCTCACCGATTTGAAAATGATGGAATGAATAGTGATTTAAAAAAAAAGTAGGATGTGATGTGTAAATGCACGAATTAAATGGTTTTTTAAAAGAATTATCATTATTTTTTTTAAGATTTGAGTTTAAACATTATAGATATCAATAATATAAATATTTAATATGAGCAGTTGAAAGTTATTTTTAAACGCCAACTAATAAAAAAGTGATGTCTAAATTAATCAATTAATTGGATTTGATGGGTTAAAGACATTTTCAATATTAATTAGTCGGTCCGGGATGGTTAGGAGATTGATGTATACTTTTTATTCTATTTATTTATTATATAATTATTAATTTATGTGTTAATGGAATTCAAAATTTGTTGAGTTGTAATCAGATATTATTGAATAAAAGAATTAATAAGGATTGGATCAGAATGATCTTTAAGTTTATGGAATGGTTTTCGATGTTTTTATAAAAAATATTTGGTTTTAAAAAATTAATTTTAATCTCGTCGTCGATCTTTTAAGTTTTTACGTTTTACCATAACGTCCAAAACCAATACGTATTCAATCATACGTTGTGTAATTTTTGAAACTTGTAAACTCGAATATATATTTAAGTTATGATTCTTTTATTCGTACCAATTTATTATGAATTAAGTGAATTTTATAAAACTAGATTTAACTCGAAAAATAAATCGACTCACTCGGATATTATTTTTAGAAGGACGTTATTTTAATTTGAATAATTAATGAAGATTATCATTAAGTAACTTTGGACAATATCTCGTTAATTTTCAAGTTGAAATAGAATTGCCTTTAATGTTATTAATACATAAAAACGATAACATATAAAATGAATACGAATTCAATTAATGAAGTAATTATATATATAAAAATGAGCTTATTTTAAATTTATTAAAAACACGAACTAAACGACCTCAGTAGTAAAAAAATTGTTGTTATTCATTGAAGACTTAGGTTTAAGCGCTGACGAAGTCAGGGGTGCGAGCGTTCATGTAAATGTATTAGAATCTAAGTTGTTATCAATTAAAGGTACAAAATTGAAAATAACATAAATTAAAGTAATTAATAATAAGGAAAAATAACAAAAATAATTAAATTAAATTAAATTAAATTAAATTAAATTAAAGGGGTGGATTGAAATAAATAGAAATATAAATGCTAGAATTAAATACAAAAAGTAAATTCAGGATCAAACTGTAAATATAATAAATTAAAGTGTTGAAATTATAAATATATAAAATTAAATAAAGGACCAAATTAAAATGAAACTAAACTTAAAAATGCTCGAACTTAAAAAATAAAATTAAGGCAAGGGATAAATTAAAATTAAATAAATTTATGAACCAAAATAAAGAAATATCAAAATTAAAATAATCAAAATAACATAGGATTGAATTCAAATTAATATGAAATTAAACTCATAATTACAAATAAGCAAAAATCAAGAAAAGGGCTAATTTGTATTCGATGAAAAGGCGGTGGGGTCGTGAGTACAATTTACCCCTTCTTTCGAAAACACGCGAATCTCAATGGGCCTATATATGTGCACGGGTCACTAAACAGGTTAGGGGCAAAATGATGTCGTTTAGCATGCCTATAAAAGACTTAAAAAAAAAGAGGACCCTAAACATTTAGGGTCAGTTTAACATTATTTTTGAAGAGTATAGTAAGAAAATGCTGTGAGAAAATATTTTAAAAGTGATTTTGAAAAGTTGAATTTAATATTTTAATGTTTAGTATTTATTTTAAAAATACTTTTGAGGTAGATATTATATTGCAAATTTAAAATATATTATTTTAAATTCATTTATAGTTTAATCTATTAAATATATCAACTTAAATTATAATAAAAATATAAACAATTAATATAATTATAATAAAAATATTATATATATATATATTTGTTATTAATAGTTTAAGTTATGAATCATAAAATTTAATTACTTTTTAGGTAATTAGAAACAATGAATCATTGAAATCCTTTGATCTTTGTTCTCGTCCCCCTTATAGATATATTGAGAGTGCTGCTAGAGGTGGCGTGTAGCATGTAACGCCTTAGATTTCCGAGTCAACACATAAGGGTTGACCTAAGAAGTATATGGACGGAGATGAGTACATAATTAGAATCTTTAAAGTCAAATGTAGGCCTAATTGGATGCAATTTGGGATGAAATGGCTATAAAAGGGGATTTTCGAATGGGAGGTAAATAAGAAGGACCAAAGGATAAATTATACCATTTATAGAAAATAGACAAAAGGGCACCCCATGTCCTTGTACTTTAAAAAAAACCTAATGTGACTCTCGTCTTATTTTTTCTCTCAATTTGACCTTCGAATTTAAAAAAAATAACTCAATGTGACCCTTTGACTAACGTTTTTCGTCATTGACCAACGGCTCTGTTAATTCATATTGATATGGAACGTCAAGCAGGCCAACCCTCAATTTAATGCTATTATAAATTGGGTAAATTACACTATTCATTACTCAACTATCTTATCTCTTCTATGTTGGTCACTAAACTTTAACAATTTTCAATTTAATTACTCAACTTTTGAATTGCTCTTATTAAAATCACCATAAATTTAATAACGACAAGCTGCCCATGGAATGTTTATATTAACTAAAGATTCTTAAATTTCATTCTACTTTTTTGTACTATAATTTCTTTGGGATTCTCATATTCTTTTTTTAATTTCTTTTATTAATTCACCTCATTGCTCAGCCTTCTGACGAGGGCTAGCCATTCCGATAATCAACACTCCAGTAGCCACACCCAATTAGCCTTTCGAAAATAGTCAGAAGTGCTGATAACATCGCCGGAAAAAGCCCCAAACTCCCCATATCTAGCCATAGAGATTTTGGATTCTCTTCTCCCGATCTTTGTCGTCTATCGTCGGATGGAGCCCAAATGGAGATATATTGGTCTCCTCACCCGTTTGCTTCTCCTCACCATTGGGATTCATCATCTGACCACCAGAGCCACCACCATCGAGAATCCAAAGGTAAAGTTTATTCATTTTCTCCATATTTCATTTTTTTCTTCTGTTGATTGTCCCATTTTCCTTTTTTTTTTCCTCATTTTTTCTATGATATCATCGTTCCAACTTATTATCGCATCATAAACACTTAATGCCAAAGGTTTCTCGATCATGGGGATTGACTTTATGATTTACAGTAGCTGTTTTGGGGATATGGTTGTGGTTTTGAAGTTATGATTATGGATTTAAGGGATGATGGGTAGAGGATGGTGCTAAACTCTTGATGGGTTTATAGAAGAAAAAGAAATGTGCTTATGGAAGAAGAAGAAATGAGTTTATGGAAGAAGAAGAAATGAGTATATGGAAGAAGAATAATAATTCAAAATGATAAATGAAATACCTTTATTAATTAGGGTAAACTACACAGTTGGTAACTAATATTTGAGTAAGTATTCGTTTTTCCCACTGAAGTTTCAAAAACATGGCGGTCAAACCAATCAACCTAATCCATGTAAACAGTTAACATGCCAGCTGTATTTTCTTTCACGCCTGTTAATAGTTGTTAACGTCGAGTGACCAATTTGTAACGAATGATAACGTTAGTGACCGAGTTTTGACTTTTGAAACATCAGTGGTGAAAACGAAAAGTTACTCGAACATTAGTGTAGACACCCATTTTGTTTGAGTTATTATTATTATTAGACTAATTTTTATTAATCTTGCAGGCCCAATTCACAAAACAAAGCCCAAATATCGACCCAAACAGCAGATGACCCAGTAAATGAAGGCCCAAAAATGTTAATAGCCTACTGTTTATGATTTTAGGGTTTCACCCTTATGGTAATCAATTGTCGGCTTCGACACATTACAACTTTTGGATCCAGTCAACGATTGGATCCAATGGTCTAGCTTCATCCCAAGGTAGCCGGCCGTCTGGATCTACGCACCCATGCTGCCACCACTACTGCTCCCTCTGTTTTGACAGTGGATGGAAGGAGCCTTGGTTGCCATAAAATGCCAAAAAGATGCAACATTTTCTTCTCCTTTCGCATGCAAAACTGAAAACAAAAATAAAATATCAGAAAAAGGGTAAGATCTTCTCCCCTTAACAAATGAGAATAACGAAAAAGAAAACAAAAAGGGATGATCTCTTTCCTCAACAAAAAATAATTGAGAACAACAGAACACAAAAAGGCTCTCCCCTTTTCAAGGATATACAACAACATAGAAAAGGGGAGGAGGAGAGAAAAAAAGGAAAGGGAGGGATGAAAAAAAAGGAAAACGGGGAATCCTTCGGTTTTTCGGACAACAAAATATAGAGGGAAAATCAAGAGAGAAAGACAAAAAAGGCTTTGTATTTCTTTTTGAAGATCAATACAACTCACCATTTTGATTCTTCAAAGGTACATGTTTACCGCGTTTTGTGCTTGCATGCGTCGTTTGAGGGTAGTTTTCTTAGAATAAAAAAGAGAAAACAAATATGTGGAGAGACACGATGATCAGAGAGTGGTTTTTTGAATGGAAAATTCTAGATCTACTATAATCTCGAGGATTTTTTATGAAACCAAACAAAGATGGGTGTTTGGGGGCTTGAGAGGATCGAAAAAGAGGAAATTCTCTTTATTTCACGGTCGGAAACAGTGGTCGGCACCACCTCTCATGGCTTGACGACAAATAAAGTGAAGAACACATAAATAACATTTTGTTTTTCTTTAGAGGATTTTTTAAAAATGTTGATAAAAATTTAAAGTGACCAAATGAAATTTGTTTCTTAAAAAGGTTTGTTTTATACTTCCCTAAAAGTGCCTATTAAGGGCCCGTGTTTTTAATGGCCAAGGGTAAATCATTTCTGCAATCCCCCTTGTTTTGTCTTTGTTTCATCTTGGTCATGTTTTCATTTATTTTTTCCTTTTAACTTTGGTTTACATTTTTTTGGTAATTTTATTTTAGTCCTATTTGAGACTTTAATATTTATTTGACAAATTTTCATATGAGCCCCTGATGTTTTATTTTATTTTCAATCTTGCACTTCGCTTTATTTTTTTATTCTGTTTAGTCACTCCCTCTTCGTTTATTTAATTTAATAGCTCCATTACATTTATGTCTATTTTTATTTATTTAGTATTTTATGTGTATCCTTTAATTTGCCATTTACATCCCCACATACTTTCAGTTCAATAATTAAATTTAAAATATAATTAAAAATGTTACCGTATTAGCAAAATGCCTCGAGATATGATGTCCATCTAAACGAAACAGATCACCTTTCATTTTATAACTGTAAAAAATAATAAAAAGTAAATATAATACAATTTAATAAAATAATAAACTATTAATTAATTATAAAATAGTATAATATTTTACCTTCTAAATATTGACTGGGTTTAAGCTTTAAAAGGGTTTGGACTTTGAGAGGATTTAGGATTTTGGTGTGTTTGAATGAAGGAAAGAGAGGGTATTTATAGGAATGGGGGAAGGGTTTGGCCGGATGGGGTAATTAATGGGGGAGTGTGAACAATTGAAATTTAATTGAAAGACGCAGATGATGATCTGCGCCTTTCTGACGCGTGTCAGACCTCTAGAAAGGCGAGGATGATGATCCGCATCTTACCTTGATGTTGCGCCAACTCAGACAAGGCACACATCATCATCCGCACAATTCTGTAAAGGGTGTTGGATTGGTAAATTTTCTAAAACAGTGTCTGACAGGTAATTAAAACCTGTCAGGGTAATTTTTGGGTAAAAATGCCCCTATTTTACGCTGGTACATTCTGTCGCAATTTATAACAAATGCTTTAAATTTTAACAATTATTAGTCTTTGTATTTCATTTTTAATTAATTAATTATTTAAGAATAATCATTTGATAAAATAACAGTGATTTTTTCTAACTTTATAAACGGATTAAAACTATATGTTGTGTCTAATTTATTTATTTTATTTTTTAAGTAGAACTTAAAATAATAAAAGGATAATTATTTGTAGAGCTTAAAAAAATTCATTTCAAGTATACATGATAATTATCTATGATTTAGTGCTCATAATGTTTGAGGTCGTTTTGGGTTCAAATTCTTTTTTCCACAAGTAGATCGATTAAAAATGTCACATGTTACACGAACTAAGCTACTTCAGTTGTTAAATGAATGATGTCAAGTATAATTGAGTTTTTATTATCAAATGATTAAAGATATTTAGAACATATATTACATTATAATCACCTTATATTAATAAAAAAATATCACACATTTTGCACGTATTAATATTAAATTAATATTATAAGTTAATTTCATATTAATTTCATTTGTAAAATTATTTAAAAACCTAAATTTAAGTCATAATAACAAAATAAATAATAAAATCTTTTAAAATAAAAAAAAAACTCATTATTACACTCTCATTAGAAAATACCCTCCTTTTTGTCATGTATATTTTATACATATGTACGAGTCAAGTGATCTCAATGGTTAAGAGATATTTGTTTTCTCTAGAGATCTCGAATTCGAACATGATATCTGCATGAGTGTTTACACGTTCATTGTCAAATGGTTGTGATTTTTTCAAACATATACTACTATGTAATTACTCAAATTAAAAAAATGTTTTATAGATATATATATATATATATATATATTATTTTATTATAATTATAGACTTTTTTAAAAATATTAATTAAAAATTTATTCTTATATATATATATTTTTATTAAATATGCAAAACCATTACAATTTTTTATTTAGTTAGTCCATAACTGCTTTGGTAAAGCTCTAGAAGGCTTCTAAAAGCACCAAAGCCAACGAAAGCATTTTGTTGTTTGATGATAATTTAATCAATACACTAAGTTTGACCCCCCTGTTTTAATAGAAAATACGCCATCATATTTATATAAATTTACATGAATAAATATTACATTATGTGACTTGTGTCAATTAAAAAAATTATATAAATTTTATTACTGCACTTCAGTTAGAAAATTAATAATTATGAAAATAAATTATATCCAACGAATTTCACAAAAAATATTCTTTAAAAAATCATTTTGAGTTATCAACAAGGTTAGTTTTAAGTGATAACCAGTTTAATATCTCTTAAGCAAAAGAGTCTGTGTATGTAGAAAATTTCAGTTAAGAGACTCACACATCAAAGTCAAATATGTGATCAGAGTCGATCTAAATTAGTCAGGATGAAACCTTTGGAACTGAGAGAAAAAATGAAAAATCATTTTGAGTTGAAATTGTATCATATACGAAGATAATTTTAAAAAACGTCATTTTCATTTGTCTTCTAATAGAACCTTTCTACTTGACGTTTTTCTAACTATTTTATGATGCATTATATTAATTAATTAGTTAATTATCTACTTGTCTCTCTTTTTCTTCTGTTGATTGTCCCATTTTCCTTTTTTTCTCTTTTTTCTATGATATCATCGTTCCAACTCATATCGAATCATAAACACTTAATGCTAAAGGTTTCTCGATCATGGGGATTGACTTTATGATTTATAGTAGGTGTTTTGGGGATATGGTTGTGGTTTTGAAGTTATGATTATGGATTTGAGGGTTGATGGGTAGAGGACGGTGCTAAACTCTTGATGGGTTTATGGAAGAAAAAGAAATATGCTTATGGAAGATAGAAGAAATGAGTTTATGGAAGAAGAATAATAGTTTAAAATGATAAATAAAATTCTCTTATTAATTAGGGTAAACTACACAGTTGGTCACTAATATTTGAGTAAGTTTTCGTTTTTCTCACTGAAGTTTCAAAAATATGGCGGTCAAACCAATCAACCTAATTCATGTAAACAGTTCACGTGCCAGCTATGTTTCTTTCACGTTTGTTAACAGATGTTAACGTCGAGTGATCAATTTGTAACGAATGATAACGTTAGTGACCCATTTTATCCGAGTAATTATTATTATTATTATTATTAGACTAATTTTTATTAATCTTGTAGGCCCAATTCACAAAACAAAGCCCAAATATCGACCCAAACAGCAGATGACCCAGCAAATGAAGGCCCAAAAATGTTATCAGCTTATTGTTTATGATTTT